CAATGCAGATAGTATGTTAGAAGCAAGTAGAGTTGCTCCATTTGGATGGGGTTGTTGGGTTCTTGGATGAGTTCATGTTAGATCTTACTTGATCAATGCACTTGAAGGATTGTCCATGGTACTGTCCGTCCGTACGAGAAGTTTCATCTGCTCGCTTAGGTATTCGCCCAGTTTTGCTGAGGTAAGGTGTGAATGGTTGATCATGGTTCTTAACATGACTCAGGCTGTTACCTTGCTGGTAGGGATGCCTGCTTCATGCGGTCATGAATTAGTGTAGGTGGTTACAGCCAGTTATTAAGGAGGGCGCATGTTCGAAGTAATTTGTATAGGATATATTCCCTCCTATAACTACAAGAGTACGTACTGTACTAGCGGGGACGCCGCCACGCTATACCTGCTCAGGAAGTTCCAGTGAGAAATTGATTGATAATATACTACAGTACTCTATACGAAGTACATACTTCTTCAGGAATGCAGGAGGATCAGTGGCCAAGCTCGCTTACCGGATAGACTAAAGGCTATCGCCATTCATACTCGCTACTCTACTGTAGTTAGTTACTAGCGGTTATCAAATCTCACATGCGTCAAACTGTCAATAATCTAGACTAGTCCCCTCCAACAACCCCACCTTAGCCGAGCCGTCCACTTGGATCCCAACGGGACCCCCCTCACTCCACTTCCTCAGCGGGTCCCGGTCAAGTCCGACTCTGCATCAAGCTAAGCTAAGCTAAGTCAAACTAAACTAAACTTGTTTCTTACCCAGCCCAGCGTGAGATCGATGCAGCTTGCCCAGGTTGAACATCCTCCAGAACATCCAGTCCTGTGCGGGGGCAATCAGCACAGCACTAATAGAGGCGGGGGAGGGGGCCAAAGGAACGTCGGAGGCAGAGTTAGGGCTTACCCAAATCGTCCGCCAGGCAAATGTATCCAAACAGCGGATCAGCCCTGTCGAACTGCCCGTCCAGAACCAGGCGGCCGGACTGGAGCGCAGACTCTCTCCAACCACCTTGGAGGCATACTGGAACCGATCCGTCGCCCCGGAGGGGGTTCTGGTGACGTGTTGCCGGAACTCTTCCGCTAGGGGGCTGTAGTAGGAGCCTGCTCCGAACCACCCTCTGTCAGCATCGAAGACGAAGACCAAACCCCGAGGATAAAGATATGAGATGAGGAAATTACCTTCTGGGAGTTGTCGATGCGCGTCATTTTTCAGGATGTTGGTATACACCTCGCCGGAAATGACCTAGATGATTTCAATGGAAATAATGCCTTAGTGGGATTTGACCAACTGGAAAGGGGCGGGGAGAAGAAACGTACTGTGATGACTCGGACGCTGGAGCCCAAAACTCAATCAACGAATGGTTCCAAAGGCAAGGTGGAGGGAGCGGGAGGGGGCTGACTTACTCGAAGGGGGCCATTTCGACACGCAGGGTATTGGACCAGTGATGAAGGCCAGCTTTGGTGGCATTGTAGGATGCTGCTCTCTCGCTCTCGTGGTGAGTGGGTCGAGAATGCAAATGGAGACAACAACAACTGGGGCTGGAGGGTTAACCGCCTTACCTCCATACAAGTAAGGAACGATGCCACCAATAGAGCCAATGTTGACGATCGTTCCCTTGGCGGGGATAATGAGGTCGTGGAAGTGGTGCACCATCCGCATCGGGCCAAAGAGGTTCACATCGAACATGCGCTGGACGGCACCGACGTCAGTGTCGATGGCCGTCATCGTATACGCAATTCCCCTGTTCATGTGCCATCCGTCAGTCAGTCAGCCTGCTGGCGCCCAGCTGGTTCACGTACGCGCAATTCACCAGAATGTCGAGGTATCCGCCGGTGAGCTCCCGGATGCGGGCTTTGAGCTCGACCACTGACTCCTCGACCGTCACATCGAGGGGAAAGAAGGTGATGCCCTTTGCGGACAGATGTTCGCTCGACTCGTTGGGGAGAACGGTAGCAATGGGATGAATGCCACGGCGAGCGTATTCGGTCACCAATGCTTCGCCAATTCCTCCCTGGCCGCATCTACATGTGAACCTGTGAGCCTGGGGTGCGATAACTAATGGAGAGATCAGAGGTTACCCGGTAACAAGGGCGAACTTCTGGGTTCGTGACATGGTGGTAGGTTCTGAGGGAAGCAATATTTCTGAGATTTTATCACGAAGAACAGGTACCAGAGCTGGAATCAATGTGGTCTGGAGTATGGTAGGAACGGCCTTTTGAATTGTCTTACTATGGAACTCAACAGAGGGGAATCCCGGGATTTACCCTGTGGCGTTTCTTGAGGCTTCATGCAACCCTAACTAGGCCTGAGCGGGGCTTCGGGCTTTTACTCAGAATCTCACCACCCATGCCGTAACTTTTCTTTTGGATCCTTCTAGACTAGGCCATTTCCTGAGGACTTGCATCACACTCTGTCTTATCTTTCTTCATCCTTTGCTTTTGGCTTTCCACCCGTACTCTTCCGCCCCTGGGTCTGATTCCAAGAACCCCACCTAGCACAAGTACAGTACACCCAATATATTTCACAGCATATTTGAACATATCTGGTGCTGTTGTTCGAACAGACGTAACTAACTATCACCCCACCAGGCTACTTCACCATGAGTGTGAATACGTATTTCGATCTCAGCAAGACTCTTTACACTCTTGTCTTTGCGGTGTTTCTCAGCGGAGTCTGGAAACTGCGTAAAGTCGGCCGACGACCCACCGATTTGCCCCCAGGACCACCCACGCTCCCGATCTTGGGCAACCTGCACCAGATCCCCTCGCAGAAAAGTCACCTCCAGTTCGAGAAATGGAGTCGCGATTACGGTCCGATCTACTCGCTCGTGCTCGGGACACGCCCCGTGATTGTGCTCAACTCCGCCCAGGCAGTCAAGGATCTCCTCGACCGCCGCGGGGCCATCTACTCCTCTCGGCCCGAGAGCTACATGGCTCAAGACGTGCTGAGCGGCGGATTGAGAGTACTGTTCATGGTGTGTGCTCCCTGCCTCTTTCCCCTGTCAAGTATCGTGCTCATCGATCTGTCGTGGCACAGGACGATGGCCCAACGTGGAAGACGGTCCGACAGCTCGCGCATCGCATCCTCAACGTTGCCGCAGCGCGCACCTATGTCCCGTATCAGGACCTGGAAAACCGGGCCATGCTGAAGAGCATGCTGGAGGCGCCGGCGCATTTCATCAATCACATCCGCCGCTATTCCGGCTCCTTGACGACGCAGATGGCCTTTGGGTTCCGGACCACCACGATCGAGGATCCGAAGTTCAAGCAGACCTTTGATGTATTTTTTTCCGTCAAGATTCAACAACGCGGACAAGCAGGCTAACTAGGCCTGTGTAGATCTTCGATCGGAATTCCGAGATTACCACGTCCAAGGTATATTGTCTTTCATATGCTCGCAACCCTCCACCAGATTGCTAAGCTAATCCTCCACCGTACCTTTTCCATCAGACCGCGAGCTTGCTAGATCTGTTCCCCGTCCTCCAATGCCTGCCAGAATTCATGCTACCGCTGGTCCAGGAAGCGAGGGAGTTGCACCGCCAGGAGTGCCAGCTGTTCCGAGAATTCTATCTGGACGCCAAACGAAAACTCCAGGAAGGCACGGCCAAGGTACGTGCACACCACCTATGCACTTCTTCCCACTCTGACAGACGAACCCTCTAGCCCTGTGTCTGTGTCGATCTGGTCCGCATGCAACAGACCGAGAACTTCTCCGACGACCTGGCCGCCTACATCAGCGGGGCGCTGCTGCAGGCGGGGTCCGAAACGACGGCCAGCATCCTGGTGGGCTTCGTGCAGGCGATGGTGATTTTCCCGGAGGTGGCGCGGACTGCGCAGGCGGAGCTGGACCGGGTCTGTGGCGACCGACTGCCCGATCTCAACGACGTGCCGGATTTGCCCTACATCCGCGCCTGCGCGAAGGAGACCCTCCGCTGGATGCCCGGCTTTCTGCTGGGGATTCCGCACGCCACGACCCAGGAGGATACGTACCTCGGGTATCGGATCCCCAAGGGGGCGACGGTCATTGTGAACGTGTGGTAGGTCTACTTTCCGGCTTTCCTTGGTGCATTGAGTACGTACCAGAGGGACTAATGCTTGGGCTGGGGGCGAAAACAGGGCGCTACACTCCGACCCCGACCGATACCCCAATCCTCGCCAGTTCGACCCACTGCGCTATATCGACGACCACCAGACCTCAGCGGAGGCGGCCACCAACGCCAACGTGCTCCAACGCGATCACTTCGTCTTCGGGGCCGGCCGCCGCCGCTGCCAAGGCATGCACATCGCGGACCGGTCGATGTACCTCGCCATCTCGCGGCTGCTGTGGGCCTTCGACTTCAAGCGGGTCGTCGACCCCGTCACCAAGCGGGAGGTGGTCCCCGACCAGGCTGAGCTGGTGGACGGCTTCATGACAATGCCTAAGCCCTTTCCAGTGAATATCGTCCCGCGGAGTGGGGAGAAGGCCCAACGCGTCCGGGAAGAATGGGAGAAGGTCCGGCCCATGTTGGATGAGGCGGGTCAGTGGAAGGCGGTTCCAGAGGGGTTGATCTGGAAGGATGAGGTGGAAACTATCTGATAGGACCTGACATCTTGATTGGGGGTTGCGTCAAAGTGTTGGGATACATCCTGGATACTAGGTAGCATTGGTGTGGTGCCGTTTAGGGGAATTCCTCATTGCCAGATTGGGAACCATCTATCTATTCTTTCTGCCTAGCCCTAGCAATATAGTGCCAAACATTCCGCGTGGGCCCTCGTGTTCGATGCTGCAGTCTCACCTGCATAACCGCGGGTCGGCCATTCTGCAGCTGTCACACTAGGAGCGACACGAGCTGCACAACTCTGCACGTTCTGTAGGACACGGACATAACACGGCTGGGAGCTCAGACCACGAGCCAAAACCCGATCCGAAGTATGTGAAATGCAG